TGTGGCATGTTCCAAATGTGGTCACAGATAAACCTCACCCCTGATTTGTTACAAAAATTTCAAGGTGAAAAAGATGCAACTCATAAACAACTGCTGGTTTGCAAACTTGTTTGATTTTTCACCACACTTGTCTTTAGTAAAACTATTTCACCACACAAAACTCACTGTCTCACACATGTGGACAACAGAAATTTCCATTCCTATCACAACATTTTTGTATGTAACAGAATGCATAAAGAAATAGCTATAACACAACACTTGAAGAAGGAGGCACATTTCTAAGAAAAATTTTTTGCAGATAATAAAAAATTTTACCCCATTGGATTTTAATTGAGTGATTGAATTTAAGAGCAAGGGAACAGAATATGTTTTGAGTCTTTTTTTGAGTCTTTTTTTGGCTTAGATTCAGCTTAAAAATATGGCTTGTTATTGAGTTGTTTTACTGATCCTAGCACCAGACATTATTTGGGTTAGACATAAGCTGAAACGGGTAAAAGGCCACTCTCAGTCATGTTTTATCAAAACTTCTGTGTCGTTGTGCTTGCTAGGATTATAAAGGAGTTAGTATTAAGAAGAAATATTTTGGTTGTTTACAAATGATTACAAACTCTTATTTTGCCTGCCAATTGCTCCTTCTGGCCTAGCACAAGCTCTTTTTTACATTTTCATATACTTGTACCTGTAACTTGAATTTGTTGTTCAGTGGCTGGAAAATCCTTTGATTTTTCTTGTTTTGCGGTTACTGTCCTTTGAAGGTATTTTAGTTTACTTTCAAAACATTTCAACCTCGTCGCGTTTGACTTCGTTGATACAGACTTCATGATATCAATAAAAAAAGAGTTGTGGTCAGTTGACTTAGCAAACATTTTCATCGAGAAATTTGTAATTGCTACATGTACCACCTACCCATGTTTTATGTAGTATTGGACGTAAGATGTTAATAAGGACATAGCACTCAGTTTTTCATGCACAATGAATGTTCTGAATGATGACACGGCAAAAGGCAGTCGTTGTTTAACAACTAAAAACAAATAAGGTTATTTCTTTTTCTTTGTCAATTCAATGATATCCACAATGATAGATTTTTTAGGTTCTTTTCTGGAGACAATCTAGTTACTGAAGACTCAAAGTACATTCCAAGTGATCATTGATTTCTGTTCGTGTGAACGGAGATAGATTTATCGGTGTTTTGAAAATGCTAATTTATGCTAATTAATAAAACAGTGTTGAAAAAGTTCTTTAGTGAAAGTTCATCAAAGGAAAGATACTCCAATTTCAGTAAGATTTCTCACAGCCCCACACTTCATTATGGAACAAGAGCGAAATCAATATATTGTCTTTGGGAGTATGGATTTGTTTCTGAACACTATGGGGCTGTGCGGAAACCTGACCGCAATTTTTCTTATGCTTCGTGTCTGCTGATATTTAACAATTAGTCGCCGAATAATCCCCGAGACGAGGTCGAGGGGATTATTCGACAATATTCAACGAACCTGAGGCGAATAATTGTTTTAGTATAATTTCAGAGCTGAACAACAGAGAAATTTCTAAAATCACAACATTTTAGTAACATTTATTAACTTTTCGTTTTAACATTATATATAAACCGCGTGGAGCGGTTTATATAGCGTCATATAAGGAACCGCTCGACCAATCAGATTGCTGGAAACTCTTTGCTCAGCTCTGAAATTATACTAATATGTTGTATAGATTTAGACAATCATTACCGAATTCTAGAGCTATTTCACTTAAGTAGAGATAGTAAAGTTATTCATTAACTTTTGCTTGGTTGTCGGTTCCTCACGGTAACTTGTCATCTTTGTCACAAGGGAACAAAAGAAAACGTTGAAATTCGTGCGATGTTAAACTCTACCCAAAGTTTTTATTCAAATTTCAAGTGTGGAAGTTTTACAAGTGCAAGTAAATTGTATTAGTAAGCACTGTAAGCAAAACGTTTGACTAGTGTGAACTTCTAGTAATTTTCCTTCACGAGAGGGCAAGTTTTCTGCACAGTCCTAGAACTTATTATGCATACAGTTCTTGGAGAAAAAAAACAATGGCAAAAAAAAAAATACATTGCCTTTGAAACTTTGTTTTAGAACAGTATGGTGTGGGATTATGCGGAAACCTTTCGGTCAAGATAAAGCGTGTCAAGGGAAATTTCTGCCCTGTTGCTAACGCATTATTTTTGGAATATTTGCGAGTCGTTTTCAGAGCTGCAGCTGAAAAACTAAATACATCGGGGAACGCTTCACCGATGCCATTTTATAGCTAAGTGGGGCTGTTAGGATAATTTGTACGCTAATATTCATGTGATACTAAACGCAACTGACACTGTTATTAATGCTGTTTTCCTAATTTTGGTTTCAGTTTATTTACTCCGAGGCGTCAAGACCAAGCAAAGGGAGCCAAGCCTTTCATCTTTCCTTTCATTTCGGTGGATCTGGTTCAGAGATCAAGGTAGATCTTTGCCGTCGTCCCGCTTTCATTTTTTTTTCGGCGCGAATACTCAAACTCGGCGATTTTTCTTTGCTTAGCTCACTATTCAAGTTCAATTGGCAAGTTCGCAAGGAAGCAAATTGTGGAGACAAACAAACAATTTCTTTTCGTCATTGCTGTCAGTTTTGTCTATAGTAACATTTGGTTAAATGGATTTAATTTTCCCGCCAAAAGACTTAGGAAAAAAATACGGGTGCTCAAAATACGCATGCGCCATTTTTTTACGGCTGTTTAAAATGCTCTAATTTTTCCGCCGGAAGACTTAGAAAAATGCATGCGCCGATTTTTTTAAAATTTATCTTATGTAGTGTATTTCGTTTTTGATAAAGACTCAGTTAAACAACATATTTTGTGATCTCTGTTTTCTCTTTATCTCCAATAAACAACAATTTTTTTCATTTCCATTAGTTTTTATTTAAACCAAATATCTTATTAGTTAACTGAGTTTCGATTAAATAATCAAAAGGTGTATATACTAAGACTTTTGGCGGGAAAATCTGGTCCAGTTTGCACAGAGTTTCCCCTGACAACCATTTAGACAAAAATTTTACAAACAAAAAATCTTACGGGTACTGTGACATTTTTCCGCCAACTAAGACTATTACTCCTCCATACACAAAAGTTTGAAATTTGTCAAATTTAGACGATGTTCCTTGTTGTTTTGAGTAATCTTCGCCAAACAGCCCTTGATTTCCAATTGAAACGGTATCAAGAAATCTTAAATGTGCAGAGCGATGCAAAAGTTTCTACGCTTAAAGAAGATGAAATGGCAAGCTTAAGAGTTGGTCGTTTGAAGTCTGCGAAGTACAATTAAAATAATCTTTGCCTTTTTCCATCCAAACGTTTTTAAGTGTTCGATTGTTTTAAAGAACAATTTAATTTTTTCCCCAGATCTTGCCGTCTCATCTATACTAGTTGCTGGTCGTGCAACTTTTCTGCTTATACACTCTTCACGAAGAATTCATTCATCAACAAGATCCAATAAATATCTGCCAAATATTTTAATTTCTAGTGTATTTTGCCCTGAGATTTGTTCTCTCGACTCGTGTAATAAGCACAAAAGCAACAGGCCATTAAAATCATGATCTGGTTCATCTGAGATGTCAAGTTGTTAATCGCGCGCGAGATTATTGTTGTTTCCACATGAAAACCAGGACCACAGGAAAATGAATGAAATCTACGGCCGTTATTGGAGTGAAAAATTACAAGTGTTTTAAAACATGTCATAATATTTCAAAAAATTTATTTTCAGATGCAACCAAAGTATCTTTCATGATAACCTTTGAAAAGTAACATCAAGAACTGCAAACCTAAGTGGTGTCGCTTTTAGATTACGTGAAACAATATAATTTTTTTTGCTTTGATCGTCACCTTTACAAAACGGTGCACTGATTTTAAGACAAATAGAGGGGATCGAACTGCAATCTTTCTGTACGTTCTATTAAAGGCGAAGAATGACTTCTTTTATTGATTGTAAATGCAAAATTCAAATTGAAATAAAAAACGAAAATATTTATCATTGCTCTTCTTAGCAGCCTAATTCAGTTCTTTTGAATGATAATTTGGCGACAAAATTATAAAATTGCCTTCAGTTTTTCTCCTTATCCCTTTAAAATGATATCACACAAATTGGCCCCGTTTTTGATCAGATGATTTGGTAAATAATTCTGCCCTAGATTTTTTCAATAGCTAAATCTCTTTAGCTTTTTGTTGTGATTGTTTTCTCCAGTACAATAGCCAATTTTTTGTGTGAATAGCACCTTGATAACAAAACTAGGAGACTCATTTTTTAGACAGAGAACAAAACCTACTTCGAAAGCAAGGCAAATTGCCTTTAAAAAATGGTTCAGGTATTTCAAATAAAAAAATAGCAACATTCTGAATATCAACTTTTTATAGCACCTCCATCTAGTTCTTTTGATCTTAGTTATGGGAATTTGGTAACAAACGTAGAAAAGAATTGCCACTCGTTTTCTTTGAATTCCTTGAACATGGTATGAAACAGCAGCCACTTCGTCAATGAATGTAATCATCTGGGGATGATTTTTCGTAAAATTTTTCAAAATCCATGAAATATCAACTCGCAAGTTTACTACCAAAAGCATAATATTTTATCGTTGAAGACTCTCAGCTGCTTGATCATTCTTGATAGCTGTTACTTTTCTACCTTTATCTTTTTTTGACTTTACACCTCCATTTAAATACATCCGTTGTTTTTAACCAACTGTTTTCGTCATACTGAGTCTATCAATATCAATTCTCTTTGTAAGAGTTGTCTGAAATTTACTGTAAAATGTGTTTTTTTTTTCTTAACACTTGGATATGGAAAATTAGACATGGAAAAAGTTGTTTGAAACAAGTAAAATATTCCATTCGTAACAGATAAATGGTTCTCATATGTTTGGCCAGATAGAAACCCTATTTTGAAATGACAGAAAGTTGGATTTGAACGTTCAGTCGGTAGAATGTTTTTGTCTTTTGTGAAAATGAAAAAGTAAAAAAACAATCTTAAATGAATATTGAGGAGAAAGCAAAGTTTTTGTTTTTAACTGTGGTCCGGGAAATTTACGCACAGAATTTGCAAGTTCAGATTGTGAACTCTCGACACCTTTGGGTTTCTTTACTTTAACCGTAATGAACAGAATTTGATTGCGACACCAGTGCAATTGGGTCAGCTAGTATTGTTTAAAAGCGCGTTACCTACTCCATTTTACTGACATCTCAGTGAACCAGATATTGATTTGCTTTACCGTATTTTAGAGTTAGCGAAGAGCTCTCCGTTCAAACACTTTTTGTTGTGATTGAGGTTTAGTTTAGAATTAAACAAGCTCTTATTTCGTAATGATAGTTGTAAAGTAAACTTCGTTAAAATTTTTCTCGAAGCGATGAATGCATTTTTTATGTTGGAGAACCCTTCAGTCACTCATAAAATTACTTAAATTACACGAAGTTTGTGGTGGTTTATCATAAGAACTTTAAACTATTTAGGGTGGCTGTATACAATTGAGATTTTTTTAATGACTTTTTCAACGCTTAAGTTGCAATAAATTGTGTCAAGTTGCATAAGCGCGGCTAGTTCGTAAAAGTACTTTTTGTAGTGACAGTGGGTGTCGTTTCGTCATTACTGGAGGCAAGTTAAGATTTGTTAGGCAGTCGATTTTTTAAGTGTGGTTTGAACTGTATGTTAGGTCAGCTTTGCTTCGATGTTATAGGGGAATCTTTGTTTACATTTTTTTGCTCATTAGCATGAGAACTTCATAGGACATATTAACCCTTCTCTGAAAATTTCATCCCGATACGATAGAGTAAGAAATAGAAATTTTTAATAAAAAGAATGTCCTGGCTCGTCAGTGTTTTGCCATCCAGAAAGTTGGTAGTTTGTACAGGAGGATATTTCTACTAGTTTTTCTCGCAAGAAGCTCCTAATTTCACACACATCAAGCTCTGAGACGCGCTCTTTCAACTTTTGAAATAATCTCCTTTAATTTACTTCTTTTCCATGAAAACATGTATGCCAATGAGAAATATGTACACAGTGACGTCTGGACGGCAGCAAAGATTCCCCCTTTCTCTACAAGACTTAAACAGTGTTCGTCAGTTGTGATCGATATGTCGTTTCTAAGGTTGCCGTCTGTGTTTCTGTGGTAAAAATGTCAGTGTTTTAAGAAGTCGTGTCGATTTCGGCTGTAAATGCATGATAGTAGGGACTTTAAGCAGTCAGGACGGCTACGCCACAGAAGACGTCGATTAAAAAATGAGTTTCAACTTTTAAGTTAGAATTTCCAAAATGGCTGTATGAGTTTACCGTCTCATAGGGCGCCAGACCTCAAACTCAACATAACGCATAAAAGTAGCGTTGAGTTCCAAATGTTAATTAAAAGAATTTGCCGCCGCAGTTTCGGTTCACAGACGAAGCAAATGTTGGTGATTTCACGTTGCTGTTTTGCAAAGGACGGCTAAGAAATTTACAAAGTTTTAAGGTGGCTCGTACCAGTTTCCTCGCGCGGGGAACAGATCACTCTTGCCTAACGTCTCCAGCATAAAAACGGCCAATCCAAACCACAAAGACGCTGATAACGAAACTTAACTTTTTACAATGATACAAAAATGATCAACTTTGCACTTTTCTCTTTTTATTTCGTTAGTAAAATGTCTATAGAATCGCCTTTCAATATGGTGAAGAAAACGATTGCATCAAATACACGCTCGCCCGGACAAAGTGTCTGCAGGTATGTTAGAACAGTTTTCAATTTAATGGCTAAAGCAATCCAGGATTACATTGGTTGGCCTTCCCTGGCTTTTGTGATTGGTCTAAAAAATTCTTGCCACCCTCTGGACCAACCGAGCGCTATCATGTATTTACCTGAGCTCCTTATGGGTTCCCTGTCAAATTATTCTTGTTACCATTGCTTTCGGTGATTTCTTTGGTTTTTGTTTAACGACACTCACTAGTTGAATTTAACAATAAACACCTTATGTACGCTCACGGAATGTGTCTTTTAGTTTGACTGCAGTTGACGTTTGAATCACCTACCCTTTAGTGAAGAAACCTAACACAATGAAAATCCCAACCTCATAGCCTGCCTTTACTTAAGAGTAAAGTGGTTAAGTTTCTAAAGAAACTGTGGTGCTGCGTCGGTGGGGGTATTACAAGATAATTTGGTTTTATCAACAGAGTTGGTCATGAAAATTAGCCACCATAAAAATGTTACTAAGCTCTTCGTCAAAGCGAAAGACGAAGGGCTAAAAGAACTAAAATAATTAAAGCTGAAAAATCTCTCAGCAGCTTTAACTCTGTTCGCTCTCCGGTTCTTCAGAGTCCTCCTGGACCACATTAATAACAGGAAACACGTGCTCATCTTGAGCTGTCAGGTGACCTGTCTGTTCCAGTTCCTGCTCGATCTGCTGCAATCTTCTGTACTTACTTACATGCTCAGCGCGGACTGGACCGCCGAGTTTGATGAACCGGGCACCAAAAGCTACAGACTGAAAAAACAACAAACACGGCTGCAGTTATCAGTGTTGTAGAGGAAAAAATCCAGTTGGAAAGAAAGGTAAGATGCATTTGAAGGGTTCAACCATTAACCAAGGTTTCCCTCCTTATTCTCTCGTGAACTTTCTAATTGGAATTGAGCTATCCACGCGCGAACGTGCAAAATGGTGAAACGCGCGCGCTGGCATCGTTTGTCTGCGTCACGACTGCAGCTACTGAAGAAAAAACCAACGACTCCAGCACAACAAATAAAAATACATCTGAGCAATCAAGCATGTTACTTGAAAGCATTTGGTCTTACTTTTCAAGGTTAGTCTTTTCTCAAGATTTTTCTAGACAAGGAAATAATTTTAAACATTTGAAACTACTTTGATTTTTCAGGGCAACGATCAACGTGATTTAGAGCTAAAAATGTAAATCTTTAGGCATTTAAGTTACGAAATGTTTGAAATGTTGTTGACACCGCGGCCTCCGGCTTTTCGCGTCGGAATAAACAAGAGAAACAGAGTTCAAGCTCTTTTCGGGTAACCCCTACCGTGATTAGTAAGGTCAAGTTGAGCTTAAATAGTCGTAAACACTCTTACCCATAATAAGCCATAGGGAAAAAACTTTTTTAATCGTATCGAAAACTACGGATAATGTTTGTTTCACTGAGTTAAAACTCTCAGAAACTTGGTTCAACAGTCAAAGTAAACGGTAAATTAATATTTCGACAAATCGATGATGAGATAAACAAAATAGAAAGAGCAAATCGTTGAGGCGTTAGAAGCTAAACACGACCCTCAGTGGAAAGTCAGACCCGCCTTGAGCACTTGACTTTATGAGAGTAATGGTTATAAATAACGGTTTCATAATTTTACCAGCATACACCAGCAATGTATAGAAAACATTATACATAAAACAAAGGAAAGAAAAGAAGTTCAGCGACAAAACAAAAGAATGATTCTGCAAAGGCATTTTTTGAGCTGTGTTTTACTGACATATTCGACCTGTCATTTCAGCCAAGTTTGTGTTTCTTCCCAATTAACAGCAGGTGAGAGCGAATATTTAATTGCGCGAATTTACCGCTAATATTTCGGTTGTTGGACAGTTCAAACAAAAACATCCACCGATTGTCAGCAAACGCTTAGAGCTTTAGAGTGAAGGCTCGCACAATAAGATTAAAACTGACGACAGAAGGCGGGCTAAACACTGACCCACTTATCTCTAGTCAAAAATAAGAAACATTTCAAACGAATGAGTCGAACAAAGGTGAAATTTTTGACTGTCACATCCGGTACCTTCGATTCTAAATTAACAATGTTTGCTTTTAGAGTTGCTGAAAATTCTGACAACGTAGAAAGTATAAATTTGCCTAATTTCTACTCCGTCAGAAAGGCAAAAAAGCCATTAGATATTTTGTCCCGCTGCTTAAGCCTGTGTTCAGTTAATCGGTTGGTCAACAAGAGCAAACTAGCGGTTAGGAGTGCTCAAAGCTCTAAGCTTCCTTCATCAACGAATTATCACCGAGAGCAACTTGCATTTCTGGATAGTATACACCGTTTCGTTGTATGTTTGAAACTCAACGGAAACTATAAGTGAAATAGACGAATTAGACGCGTTTTTTTAAAGTCTCGCGGTCTCGGATTTAGCAGGTCGTGTAACGGGTTTTTATGTGACGTCAAAGAGGACCAAGTCTGACTTGCTTTTCCCAGCAGTACAGAGATCTTAGCATAAATTTTAGACACCACCTTTGCCATGAACACCTGGATTTGAAAGCAAGCTAAGGCCAATTGAATAGCGAAGATCCGCTATATATCGACAAATGAACATATTGTCAACAAAATTATGACATTTATTCCTTTCTTTAACAAATGCCACAGAGAGGCCTGTCGAAACCTTGTAAACAAGTTGCTGAATTTATTCTGACTACTCTTTCACAAAGTGAGTCACTGAATCTCAATTGTGTTTTCTTTCTAAGCGCTGTGTGGTGTAAGACCAAAATGGGCCGAGCATTCAAATGATAAAAGGATCACTGGGGGACATGAAGCTAAGCCCGGCAGTTGGCCCTGGATGACGAGCATTTTTGTTACGGGACTGGGAGAGTATTTCAAATGTGGGGCCGCCCTGATATCGGACCGCTGGGTCATCACAGCAGCTCACTGCACCATCGCCAACATTGGACCAATTATAGCAGCAGCCAGTAAATATCCAGAGATGTTAAGGGTAATGTATTCCCCATATCTATTCAATAAATCGACCAGAATTCTCAGCCCATTGCCTATGAACATCAGATGCGGTATCCCAAGCAAAAATCATGTCAAAGATTTCAGATGAAACTTCGTACACTGTAGAGACACTTAAAGAGGATGAAAAGAATGTTTCTCATGACCTTCAAATTTTATTCAAGAGTGACACAGAAATGATAAATTAGGAGCCAGTCATTCTTAATGGTTAAAGGCTTAAACTGCAAGACAATATCTAAAAAACCAAAACTTCAATTCAAGGTACGCGTTGGTGAACATAATTTGGATCAACCCGAAGGAACAGAGGTCGATATAAACGTTAAACAAGTTGTGCTGCATCCTAAATGGGACATAGGAGCAAATAAGACGCCCAACGGAGTGCAGATTTATTCAAAACACGACCTCGCTTTAGTAGAGCTCAGTAGTCCGGTCAACTTCACTTCGAACGTGAAAAGCATGTGTCTTGATAATGGGCAACGCTTCCAAGCTGGTAAGAAGTATTACTTGTCTGTTAACTAACACGACTTGTAAGTTTTCGGGTTTTTTTTTTAGTAATTGTTAATGACGCTTCAAACTTCATCTTCCACCAAATAAAAAGAAATATTTCTGTTCTTGGCGCAGAAGAAACGCCTGCTACGCAAGCTAACGAATAATCGAGTGGGTGGCACGTTTGGGAAACAAACAAAAAAGTAGTCCCTGAACAAAACCTAATCTAACCTTGGATTATGTTCGATAGTCCATTTAAAAATCGCTCTCATATGCTCGCCTGTTAACTCAAACAAGACAAGTTAGGTCGACCATTGATTTTGACTTAGTTTTCGTTGCATGAAAAAAAAGTAGTTAAACTTAATGTACTGAGCTCCCAAAAACCTCACTATAATCGTAATGTAACTTCATCTTTGATCTATTAACCTATCCAGTTTGTTTTTGTTTTTAGGCACGATGTGTTAGATCGCTGGCTGGGGCACTCAAAAAGTAAAAGGCCCTGCTACAAGAATTCTTTACGAAGCCGCTTTACCACTGGTGTCACATGAACAGTGCAATGGCCCCAAGTCATACAGTGGAGTTATCGGTGGAAACTTGATCTGCGCGGGATACAAACAGGGGGGTGTAGATACATGCGAGGGAGACAGTGGGGGTAAGATGGACTTTTCAACACTTAACAGTACAGAATTCAAAGGAGAGTGGAACGAGCCCCACTTAAAACTGAAAGCTTTTTCTTTGCGTCAGTCATATGTATCCATAGGGTTTACAACATCCAGAAATCGAAGAAATGAAGTTGCATCACCACTAAGCAGAATCATCTACATAATTACTTATATGGACAATTTGAACCACTTTACAAATACCTAGATTGGACGACCTTGATATCCGTACAACACATTTCCAAATCCCCGCCTTCTTCAGCATTTTTTCAGGCCAAGGAAACCTCGATCGTTTAATCGCTTTAGAGCTACGGCCGCTACATAGATGATCTTAACTACTTCACTTCCAAGATTCCATTTGTAACTCTCATTACCGTTCGCTATACAATCCTTATGATGTTACTTTGGAGAATGTGGCATTAGATCAACTTATAATCCTTAAATTGATATTTTCCTCTATTTTCATCACTTGTGTGCTTGATATTGTATTGATATTGTAAGGAGAAATTCTGTCTTGATCACTCTTGGGAGTTGAAGGGTTAGAGTAGCAACGAGTATTTAGCAACCTTTTGTCTACCCAAGTCAAGTAAAAAAGGGGCAAATAGGTTGGACAACGAAGGAGTAAATCTGTCCTCAAGAATAACAAGTGTCCTTCCCTTTTCAGGACCACTAATGTGCCAAGGAGATAGAAAGAGGTGGTTCCTGACAGGAGTGGCGTCTTTTGGACACACAGGATGCGGTGTTCCTTACAAATATGGTGTGTACACACGGGTAGTGAACCATCTGCAGTGGATATCACAAGTCACAGGATTGGACCTACCACAACCACCTGTCGACGACATACCTTTGATTACATAGAGATGATCGATGGCAGTGTAGCAATTGACGCAAGCATATTTATCGGGAGTTGAGACGAAAGAAAGAAAGGAAAGAACAAAGGAAGGAAAAGAGAAAGAAACCAAGCAATTCGCGCAGCGTGCCTGTACACCGTTAGCTGCCTTTGCAGCCATATTCCTAAAAGGTTCTTAAAAAAACCCTTGAGAAGAAAACCACAAAGAGAAAAGTTGTCAAGAAACAAAGAGTACCTAGAGCGCTCCACCGCATAAAAAAAGAAAATTTGAGTCAATCATCTCTTAATGGATCCATCTCCAATATCCCTATTACCCCATTCTACATCTATCTGATCCATATTGACCAAAAAGTACTAACATTAACTTATACGTAATTTTTTTTTCATATAATAGTACTAAGATCAATATTTTTGATAGACATTTATTAAGTCTCAAAGCTACTATGTTCTTCTAGTTTTACATAAACTCGATATTTGAGTATTCCTTTTAAGCTTTCAAGTCCTGTGGATAAATTGAAGCTTTCCCCGAAAAAATGAGTCAAAATAAGTGAGTAACAAGCCAAACCGAACCGGCGACAATTCGAGAACAGAGAAGAACTCTATTAAGAAAATTGAAGGAAACAATTCTTTCCTCTTGTCTTCATCAAAGAAATATATAACGAAAAGATGGAAAAAAATATCACTACAATTAAACAAACGTTTTATCAAGATTTCCTTTGTGGAATACCCTTAACGAAAATAAACATTCAGAACGAATTTAAAAGTTCTTCTCGACAGTCGAGTCTCGGAAAACGGAAAACCAAAGAAATCACAACGGTTAATCAAAAAATTGGCCCAAGCCACAAGAAACCAATGACAGCTTTAAGTAAACACATTTAAACGACCTCTAGCGTGGAAAAACGAGATTAATCAAGTCGCGATTGGATTTAATATGATTGTTGACTGATAGTGAGAATGGCGTAAAACTTTTAAACCATTTTATCGACTACACACTGCGAAGCATACCAAATGTTACGGACTGCTTTCGACATTTGTTCCCAAGATCAAACAAAATAGTATTTTTTGCACTCACATGTACGTATTACTTCCCCCTCTCGAAATTTTCCGCGAGTGATTTCCTTCGTAAGTCACCCATAAATGGTCGCTTTGCTTAGCAACACCATTACAGTATACTGACTTCTGGCGCACAGAATTACCGCCGATCAAAACTAGGTTGCAACTTAGGGTTAGATAAATAAAAGGAACTTTCTCAAAAAGAAGGGATTCTAAGAGAAAGTTAACTAAGTGAGTTAACAAATCAACAAAACTCACCAGATCCGCTAGAATGGAAGAAGCGTCTGCGCATGGCCCATCCGCCAGTGCAATGAGACCTCCCTGATCTATGAAAATGGCAGATAAGTGTAGTTTTAAACAAACTTGAACAAATATTTAAATGCTGTATACAGGAAAATGTTGCCTGGCAAACACTTCATCACTGAAGCATTACAAAAATAAACTCATTGGCAAAATTTATTTATGAACGGCGACGTCTCTCACGGAAGGTCAGTGTGGAACTATTTTTGAAGATGCTGCTGAGTAGCGCCTCCGACCAAAGACTCAGCTGAATCCTTTGTAAAAGTTTTACCGCAATTTTTCTCTTCTCATTCACTTGAACCAAGAGAATATCTAAAATTTGCTTGAACCAACCAGTGACGGTCTTGGCCATTTGAGACAATCCTGTAAGCGTATTGGCTTGATCCAGGCTTAGAGCTACAACACTACTGAGTTTGTCGGTGACTCCACCGTCCAAAACACTGGAATGTTTTCTGTACAATTCACAACCAATAACGAAACACTTCTCTCCGATCCTCTGACTGAGTTTCTTCCAGCCTTCCTTGTCCTAAAAGTTTTGATAAATTTTCAAGTAAGGACTGGTTCACAATAAAACTGCTTCAAAACTGAAAAGTTGTATGGTTCGGTAAGATGAAGAAGCATGAAAAAGGCAAACGTAAACCAACCAGGAACCAGGCTGACAAAGGTTGACGAAGTTTAACACCTTACACCCTGACATCAGTATGCACATTCTCTACACCGTTTTCTCTACACTTCCCATGTTACTTGCAAGGAGAATTTGTCTAACAATCAAGAGCTTCTTGAGTTCGCGATCATTTCGTTTATTCTCCTGACCTTAATATTTAATTCAGAGGTGATACCGTTGGGAAAAATTAGATGTTCATCACTAAGAGTTAATGGATAAAGATGGGTCACTAATGAACAGCTTGAAAATTTAGGCTACCAATCTTTTAAAGATGCAAAAACAGTGATATAACTTCTTTAAGCGAAGGTACCGGTAAGTCTTTCATCCTAATTTACTCGCATTACAACACTGACCGGACTCCTGACACCATCAATGATGGCTATGATTGCAGGGTATCTCTCGTGAAGTTCACAGTAAAGGTTGATCACATCATCCACACTCTTAAAGGCGTTAGCCATTATCTCATACTTTAGTTTTTCCTGCGAAGAAAGCAACATTTGTCGATTCATACACTGTAGATTTAGCCGATAACAAATGTGCAGCACTAATAGGGTGTCAATTAGTCGCTCTCGCACTCGGGCAAACAATCACATTTGCAGCAACTCGAATTAGTGATAATGAACCCACAAACGCAAAATCACGCAAGGAGTAACACAAGAGAGCAATCACGCCGGAGGCGTCTTGCAAGTGATCGGTCACGCACGGAAAGATCGCGCACGTTGCCGCGCCAAATGGTCAGTCAAAACACTATGCACGCAGCACCTAACAGAGTCACAATTAACCATAAACGCATGCATGAACGCATTCGTTTTTTTTTTTTTTAATCTGAAACCAAACCTGCGTTTACAACCCGGTTCATGAAATATTTGGCGGCGTTATTCACTGAATCTCAGGAAACTGTGCTTGAGCTATAAATTTAAATTGCCTCCACTGAGACAATCGTATAATTGGAAGAGTTTTGCAATAAAGAGAAACTTGTTTATTCAATGACTCCGTAAGCAGTGACGCTAAAAAAACGTTCCATCGCTACTAACAGGTTTTGACTTCTTGACTCCACGACGCTGAGGCTAGGATTAAAACAAACAAGCAAACGAAACTATATAAGTTGAACCCACAGTTCTACAAAAATTTGAAACAGAATGACGACAAGTTAAAAAAAATAAAAAAGGTTTTTCAGGATGTTGAAAACACATGATCCTGATCAAAGAATTGTTCATTGAAACAGTATATCACGATTTAAAAAAACTAAAAAAGGTTTTTTTAGGATGTTGAAACCATATGATCATGATCAAAGAACTGCTCATGAAAACAGTATACCATAATACTCATCTTTTTCCCCTCAGCTCAAATTCTCACCTGGTCATAAATTTCTGAGGCAGCGCAATTGAGTGCGATGTGAACATCAGTACCCAAGCTATACCCGCATGTAGACACCGCGTCTTGAACAAAATCTAAAGCCTGCTCTGGCTTGTCCATTGAAGGGGAATAGCTACCGTTATCAGTTACACACCGACCAGAAGGCTGGAGAAACATAAACAAGGATAATCGAAGCGAAAGGTGACCAAAAAAAAACTGGCTGGAAGGAAATAAAAAACCAAACATACAAAAACTTACTCCGTATTTTTGAACAAGAGTCTCGCCCATCTGCTGATGGATGTTGGTGAGCTGGTGCAAAGCCTAGGGGATAAAATAATACGATAAGTTTTTTTAAGTTAAAAGGAGCCAGCTTAGAGTTCCTCGACCTTGAAAACTCTGTATTGAAATCCAAGTGACTGGATTGGTTTGATTTTTATTCCACCTTGGTAAACTAAACAATTTGCTATTTTTCGCACCATTAAAAACCATGGCAATGTTTTTGTTAAACACACCTCGTTTTCAGATTGTTTTATCTGGCTGGATATTTAAACTATCAATTTTTACACCAAACAGTTTCTTCAGGTGATATTTTCTCCTTGAATCTAGTGTCTTTCGTTACCTCGTTTTCCAACCAATAAGACTTTAAGCAGTGGTAAAACCCCGAGGGATTTAGACCAAAAACTATACCGTTTTAATTCGACAGTGACTATCAAAAGTGGTTGATTTTTAGCACTGTACCTTTTTCATGGGCGTTCCTGGTTGAGGTAAAATCAAAACTTCTTTAATAAGATTTTGTTTTCCCGCAGACTGCTTTCCACTCGTCAGTAACGTCATCATTGGAATAGGAACAGTAAAGCTATCATCCATCTGCAAAAACCCAGATTTGCTGCTGCAAAAACGACGGTGCTTTTTAAAAATGTGTCACTGTATGTCGAAACTTATTCAGGATTGGCCTAAAAAAAAAACGTCACCCTGTGTATGGGTAATGCATCGAAAGCTGTTGTCTATAGCGTCTGGCTTCCTACTTTGTTATACAACCCAGATACTTTTATCGATCAAGAGTAAACTAGTAATTCTCACAACCAAACATCGTACTTCTTCTGCGAGAGTTATTTTTTAAGGTTTCCCATTCCCCTCGTGAAAACCGTAATATAACTGGTTATGCCCATTTCCTCATACCAAATAAAGCAAAGGAGTCGCATAAAATGAAAATTCACCTCTCTTCCCACAAGTTTTGCAAGATGTTTATACAAAGAGACTCCTTTAATTTTTGCCCCAGTGACTGCCGCCCCTATAGACACACCAATCATAGCACAATCTCTGCAGATCTCCTCTTCGTCCAAATCAGGCACCATTTGTGCTTGTGACTCCTTCGTAGCAACTGTTCCTTTTTTGCTTTCTGCATTCTTGCTAGTATCCTGTGAAATTTGCGATTGTTTGCTCTCTCCTCTGGACACATTTGACTTCTTGTTTGAGTCTTCAGCTTTGTCAGGCTCCAGTTCTTCCTCAGTTTGATCTTCATCATGGTCATTGCTATCAATTTGTACTGACGGCTTTTCTTCTTCTATCATTTTCCTTAAAGTGAAAGAAGAGTACACTGTTCATGACTTGGTGCAAACACTATCATTTTTGGAGTAAAATTGGGGGGGGGGGGAATGGGGTGAGGTGGGACACTTTCATTTGCAAAATGACCCAGTGTTACTGGAGGGAGGTGTTAATAGGGATTTTCACAGAAACATTCACTGCTCAGACAAACTTTATTCCCCAATCACAATATTATTTAGCTTCAATTACCTAGATGTCATTGCCTAATAGGAAAAGAATAAGCTGTCTTCTCCGGGAAATCAGTATTGTTAATCTAAGAATGGCTTAAGGGGTAGTCTGCCATTTTCAGATGACATGATAACACAGGAGTGTCTCAGCCCTCAGAAACCAATGTAATAATGATGAAAACCATTTGGACACGATGGCATTTTTTCCATCACACCTGCTTTTGTTTTCAAGCAGTGTATCAACTTTGCCTTTGAAATATGACCAGAAAGATGGGTTAGGCTGACAAGATTATGATTTAAAAAAGATATTGAAAAAACCAGCCAAGATTTTATCACTTATCTTTTCCATAGTTTAAAATCATATCAACTTTTTTTCTATCACTAACATTAAACTGCTGATTCATTTTTAGATTGCAGACTGAGATTAAAAAAAAATTAAGGTGAATTTGCTTTTTGTTTTGTTTTTTTTGGTCACAAGGCAACCAGAGCCTGGGCTGAGTTGTTCTTTCAAGTAGCAACATGTACCTGCAGTGCTTTAGCTGATAAACACAAAAAAATTAAAATTGAGAGCCCACATTGAAAAATGTGAAGATCTTCAATAAAATATATTGAAATCAGGTAAGTTTTCTTACTGCAATGTTTCATCTATCATCATTTGATCTGTTGGGTCCAGTCCAACAACACATGGTGTAATAGTATCAGCGATTCTCTCAATTATCTCATCCACATCTATTCCTGGAGTTGCACCAACCAATTCTCCTTCACTGCTCACAATAACAGCCTCTGACCCCTTTTGCAGTTTGGATTGCTCACTGACAAGTGTCTTAGTTTTCATGTCTGGGGTTTTGACAAACTTGGAACTCAATGAATCAGCAGGAGGACTGGAATCAATAGGGGACACAACACTTGCTATGGGCTGAAAAGACAAATCAATTTAGTTTATACTGATACTGACAGTGCATAGCCTTGAAGGCATGCTCTTATTTGTTACTCAAATGCTGAATATCCTTTGCTATTCACCTCCAAAACATTTTCATGGGATTTGTGCACAAAAATATTATAATCATTGCAGGAATAAATGAGTTAACATCATCTTTTTGTGCTAATTATCTTCTCACTGTCAGTATATACTTTATTAAATCAACTATTCACCTCAGTGTTGGTGGCCTGAGTGCTGTTACTATCCCCCACAAGCCACCCCAACTTCAGTGAATGGTTGTTAATATAATTCTCATTACAAATAATTTATTATAGGGGGAAGAAGCAAAATAATCAAAGATGACTTCAGTCATTCAACAAACCTACACCGCACCTTTGAGAGTCCATTAATGGTGCAGTCAAAGCTGACTTCAAAGGTTGGGAATCCTCGGGTACTTAGAACTTCTGCTGCTGAGACCTGGCAACAATATAAAGGAACACATCAATTCAGCTGAGCAAATCAGGATTAATTTGAATATATCAACAAAGTTGAAATGGTAAATTGGTCACCATTACGATTATCAAAGCTGACATTTCGAGCGTTAGCCCTTCGTCAGAGCAAATCAGGATTAGTTTCATTCTATTAGGAAGTGAAAAATTTGTAAGCACTTTGTTGTATTTAAAGGATAAGTCTCTGCAAAAATAGCACCATGTAAAAAAATCAAGATCAAAATCTTCATGTATGTTTTGCATTATGGTTAAATGTTTTTTGGTTTAAAGTTGTTCTAATCAGTTTGATTTTGATAATTTTGTTGTCTTGTGTTCATGATCATTATAGGAAAGAACAAAGAGAGACAGCAAAGCCGGCTATAAATCATGAATCATAAATGTATATTCATGTACAAAAATTTAGAGAAAGCATGCTATAACAATAAAATCCGAGCAAGCTGAACAAACTGATGACCTCTCATAATAAGGCAGTGATGAAGTTCTGGCAAAAAAGAAAGGAGGTTTAAAATCAAAGCCTCTGAAAAAGGAAATACTTTTCTTTGTGGCCAACATTAAACAGGCTGCCAAAGAATCCTATGCACAAACTTCTACAATATCAAGGAAAAACATTCAGGGACAATACACAACTGTAGATAGATAAAAGAACATCAAAACTCTCTTTCAATTACAAAACATATATTGTGAAAGGTTTGGGGAGCAAAGTATTAACAACTTTTGGTTTGACTGCCATTCAGGTGACACCTTTAAACACAGACTAAGAAAAATACCTTTGAAATTGTTGGTGTTTTGGAACGTTTCCCAAAATATTCCCCCTGCAAACATCAAATAACTACTATTATTGACCTGATAATCTAATTTAGTGATGACAGCATTTATAATAATTACAAGCCATGAAACCAGAATATTACATAAGGTGAATTTCACACACTCTCTCCATCCATCTCACTTAAGTTTTTTCATGCCAGCTCTAGGAGGGGGGCTTTGGGATTTTCCATTTTGCGGTTTTGACTGTACGTTTTTTGGATGGTTTTTCAGTTTTTGGGCAAAAAGGTTCAGTTTTTCGGTTTTGATGTTCAGAGCGGTTTGCGGATTTTACGTATTTTTGCATTCGGTTTTTGGTTTCCACGAAAATTCTGATGCGGTTTTCGGTTTTTCCTATTGACTCCTTTAAAGGTGAAAATGTAGCGGTTTTGTCAGGTTTGCATGTGGTTTTTGGTTTGGTGCCTTTTTTTTGTCGGTTTTTCAGTTTTGGAGGTTTTTTCTCTGGTTTTGCGGTTTTCCAGAGGCCCCAATGCCCCCCTCCTCTAGGCTACATTGTGAGGGAGCATCAAGTTGCTTATCCTCTACTGACCCAGCCCATTTTGTATTCAAACTTTAAGAGTTTATATGGGTTAATCACATTTATTTTCCAAGAAGAAAATGGAATTCAAAAGCCCACCCAAGTTTATTTATGGCCCATGAAGTGCACATGCCACATATCTGAGCGCAAAAGACGAGGTTCCATAACTTATGGCACAGACCAAGAAAACAAGGCTAAAAAAGTAAAGATATTTATTTAAATGGCATGGGTTTAAATGGAAGGGAAATATTTCAATTCAAACAAAATTTTGAATTTTACCGGCTGTACAGTGAAACAAAGCTTTCCAAATTGAGCAATTATATCGCATATGCTAGCTGAGAGATATAGTAAACCTCATGATTGACCAATATGCATAAAAGATAGCTCATGCTCCAAACATTTTAATGGAGAATCTGCAATTAGAAGCAGAAAAATCCTCTGATCTCCAATTTCTAATGAGTGCCCTAGCCAGAAGAAGAGGTAAACGTCTCTATTTTTACTGATACATGAAAATCAATAAGGAGACAAATAACAAGGTGTACTGGATGGGCGGGTACATTTCGCTGACCCCCACTCCATGGACTACCCTCGATGGACTACCTAAATGGACTACCTGTGTGGACTACCTAAATGGACTACCCATATGGACTACCCATATGGACTACCCATATGGACTACCCATATGGACTACCCTAAATTACCTACCCATAAAAAAACAGAGATCGATGATCGATTGTCACCATTTTCTTTTCTTAATGCTGCTGGTCAGCTGTTCTTTTTTGTTCCTTATTCATTCATTGTGCGTGAAGGGTGGTGAGTAATTCGAATTTATAATCTTGTATCTTGGCTGTTAATGTTACTGTCTTGGCTGTTACAGACATTGCTGCGAACAAATTTCAAGTAATTTTTGCTTTCGCGGAACAAGTGCTTTCTAAAGAATCCAGAGATTTGCTGAAATTATGGGGGGCTTTTTGTATATTTCTCTATACCATTTGCTCATTAAGATGTTTTTAAAATTTGGCAAAGAAGGGTTGTAGGTGGTAACAAAGACAGAATTTTCTTTCACACTAATTTTTCCCTTTGCAAAGCTGACTTCCGTTCTGTAAATTTCACTCAGAGGTGATTTTTGTAGTGAGGATAGCCTCCAGTGCAAAGGTGTGTTTTGAAGTTATAGATGTTCTCATAGAAAGATTAGAGCACAACTTTATTCATATTATGAAATACATATTTGAAAAGGTTTGCCCCGCAAATGGCTGGGAAGCTAGTCATGGCGAGACAAGACAAATACACGATGAGTCGACAAATTAACATAGCACTTACTGACAATCTATAAAGACAAGGAGGAGAAAAAAAAAACAGACGTAACATATTTATGAACCACTTTATTAACAATCATGAGGATTTCAATACACTCATCCTCCTTTTCTAATATATCAAATAGCAATTTGCAAAGAGCTCTTTTGAAAGATTTTAGCTGAGGAGTTGGTTCTCACAAGTCTAAGGGCATCGCCGAGACAACTGTCTGTGAATAAATGCATGCACCGATACAAGTTTCTTTGTCCGTAAGTGTAACTATTTCCTGCTATGTCAGCAGGAAATAGTTATTCTAGGAAATATCTCTGGGCCCAGCTCTACAGTGTAGTTATTTTCACGGATATTGCAATCTTCAGATGATTAGAGCAGTACATTGAAGCTTAAACTAAAGCTACACAACAACAGCAACCATGCGTCAGTCAAGAGTAATCAAGCAGTCCAGGTAGATTCTCGAAGCATTTTTGTTTTCTCTTTAATAACAGCCCTGGGAATATAGTGGGTGACAAATTGAGGTGGAGTTATTAGTTATCAAGAGACAGATCGGTTTATTTTTAACAGGTTGTCGCTGGTTGAACGCGTCTGGTACAAAAGAGAATGAAGTCCCTCTTTTTGCTCGACTCACTCGCGTGAAGGTAGGTAATTAAGGGTAGTCCATATAGGTAGTCCATTTAGGTAGTCCATAGAGGGTAGTCCATGGACTGGGGTTCAGCGAAATGTACCCACCCATACATAGGTACATTTTGCTGACCCCCAGTCCATGGACTACCCTCAATGGACTACCTAAATGGACTACCCAAACAGACTACCCTAAATTACCTACCTTTAAAAAAACAGAGATATGGGTAGTCCATTTAGGTAGTCCATCGAGGGTAGTCCATGGACTGGGGGTCACCCAAATGTACCCACCCGTACTGGATGAATCTCTGAAATTGCCATAACGGGGCCAATTGTGTGTTCCACATGCCATCGTGAGAACAAAAAAAACTGCAGTATACTTCCAGTTACTTTGTTTGAATCAAATAGGTAGCATCAAATAATTAATTTGACAAGTCACCGTATATTTTGCTGGTTTTGATATGTCAAAAGGTGCGACAGGTCGTGGAAACTGGATGTACACTCAATTGGGGAATGCTCAAGTGGAGTACAATTGACAACAAAATGTGAGTGATTGAAAACATCCCAGAGCATTCCATGTTAACTGAAGGAGTGAGGGTCTATCACTTGTTTCGTCTCCTACATAACCGCTCATGAATCCCAAAACTAAACGTATTTACCCGTAGAAAGACTTAGTAAATGACGATTACAATCTCTGTAAGCTTACGCGTGAAAAAGCACAGGAAAGAATCTACGCACCATGTATCCAAAAATATCGTTGGGCTTCTCCTTGAACATCTTATTCAGAAGCTCTTCAATCTGTTTCGGTACTTCATTCTTGTTAAAAAAAGCCACAGCATCCCGTTTTTCTTCCAGGCTGTATGCACCGTTTTTGACCGCCATGTTGAATCACCAAGGTAACTTGAATAATTTACATTAGTCTCGTTTTCATGCGAAGCAAATGCTAGTGCCAGGCTCCTCGTGTGCAGTAGGAACGTAAAAATAAATTGAAATTTATTTCAAACTAAAGTTAGACACGAATTCTTTTGACACTTTCCGCACGTGCGACAATTTTTGACTCGGATTTAATTATGAAAACAAAGATTTAGGGACGTGTTCTACCACAGTCCTTGGCCGATCTGTAACAGAACATATTCAAAACCTTGCAGAAATAGCTAAAATAATAATATTCGTGGCTGGCGGTTCAGCAAAAAATATCAAATTCTTCCAAATTATATTTTGACCGTCCATCTTGTGTTGCCTTTTTACAATGGAAAATATTGTTATTGAGTTCATTTCTAGCTATATTTTCTCGGCAAGACGCGGTAGAGAAGAACAGGAAGCAAGCTAAAGTGAATTATGCGAAATAACTTTCATTCGGCTCTTGAACAACCAATAATGGTGAACCTGTCTAAAACAAGTGGTAGTTATATTGGTTCAGGGTGAGTGACTTTGAAAAATGATTGATATGCTTGACTGAAAAAGAACGATTAGGTGCAGAGTTAAGAAAACAAACTTGCGACTGAATTGTAGTGTCTGGAAATTACTGTCTAGGAAGGGTTAGAACGCTATGCGTTTCTCAAAATTTAGCCGCACTTAGGAAACCTCTCTATAGTTTTATCAAAGCTGAGCCAAAAGACATAATAAGTCACTTTTAATGTCTACGTTATTTCAAAAGAGATGTCTGAAGTCCCCATGAGATCGTGCCTGACCATTTTCGACAAAGATTTACAAGGAAATACAATGAATTTCAATTTATATGGCTTTTAACTGATCTCTTAAAAGCTGAGTCGAGTGTTGGTACAAAGACAGAAAATAATTAAAACGGGGGAATAGAAAACTGGTACATGACTATAAAATATTTTTCTACACGCCACTGATCAGTTTCGTATACGCTGAATTATACTGGCTCATCACAAACAGTTAGCGTGTGCATACATACAGATTCCAAATTCAGGTAGATATCTGCAATCATATGATGAAACATCTCGTTTTATCACCGTTGCAATGATATGCCATATTAGTGAAATCTTAGGCAGTGTTAGAGGGGAGAACACGGCTGCAAAATGATTATATAGTACGGACTGGTGCAACTGAGAGAGCCTGTTTCTAACTCGCCATCTTAAAAAGATAATCGAGCAAAGATGCAAAGCACGCATGTGCATGTATACGGAAAACGATATCATAATCCTTAATTTCATTCGTTTCAGTTCAAATTCTTCACAGAGGTCCATGAAATCTTAACCGTTCTAACTATACTGTACATTCAATATTCTACAATATGGCGATCGTTGACTTGCAGTTATTGTTCACGCTTAAGATTACTGACTTTTTAAAGACTTTCTTTAGATCCTATCGCAATCAGCAAGTAATATTTTCAAGAAGTGTTTTCCTTTCCAACAAAAGTAGAACGTTATTTTATTACTCTTGCATGTTTAGCCAACAAAACCAGTCTTCAGCACCGTCACCTTTTAGTTTCTGGGCGCTGCTGTTCAGTTCCCCCGGCGAGAATTGTTGGATTCCTAGAATCCACTAAAACTGACAGTTCTTCGATTTTAAAGTATAATTGCCAGATTTTTTCCATTGGAATGACTGCCAGCCTTTGTTTCAGTCTTTTTCCCCATTAATAATTTAAAAAGCTCAGAACAACATAAAAGAATTCCGAGAAACTTTATCACATTGATCAACATCTTCAAGTGAGTTTTTAGAACACTAAGATGCTGTTTTCGTTAACCGTCGGTTTTACTATCGATGACGGCATGCAATAAAGAATTCTAGCGATGGAAATGTGCGATTAATGCACTATCCTTTGAGCAATATGATAATAGCGTCAGGAGTGGTTACAAAGTGTTAAGAGCTGGTAAATACCTTGTTGTCTATAGTTGATTCCTCTGAAGATCTGGTAAAAGCCCATCTCAATGTTTATGCATTCGTGGCGTTTCGTATCGAGTAATATGCGTCTTTATGTGCTATATGACGTTGTTATAGCGTGAAAGAAAACGGATTTTTTTCCATTTTCTAATCAAAACCATAAAGTTCTGCAAACTCAGACTGAAGAATGGCAGTAAATTTTGAGGAGAGCACGGTTGCCCAGATATATGCTATACCTCTTGATGGTGAGTACGTAAATAAAACTTCTAGTGCAATCCTCTAGATTAATAACAGAATTTAAAGAGCTAAAGATATAAATTCCTCCTAGTTCTTTCTTGAAATAGTCATATCCACAGAAACTTTTACTGATATTGTTAACAGTGTAGAGCCTTGTGTTGGGTCAGTATATCCTTGGTCTAAACATTTCTACCTCGAACGTTTGCCAGCGGAAGTGTTCTTGGAAATACAAAGGTAAAGGCAAAGACTGATCTATCTAAATTTGTAAGCCAATCAAAAGTGCTTACTAAAATATTCAGGCACAACACTTTCAAATGAAATTCTTCATTCCGCTTTGTTTGTTATCTAAAAGTGACATATGTCGAATTCCAACGCTTTAGCGCTTATGTATATCATTGCCGGAAAACACAACAATCTTGATTTCTACCTCTGACCAGCTGGTTGATTGAGTGATTGCCTGACTAAAATATGTCTCGAATCAGATGGCTATCAAACTGATGAAGAATGAACCGTTACTAAACAACTGGATTATCTAAAGAACCATTGTCCAGAACTGCTTCATGACGGACGAACAGACGACAGTTTAACTGGATAGTCAGGGAGCCAAACCGACTGATTCTCTACATATCTGTCTGCCTGACTGATGAAAAGATTGACTCAATGACAAACTAAATTGATTGACTTCAAACCAGCCAACCACCTAATTAACAAACAGGCCATTAAATCGAAACACCAACTAACATAACTGATCAAGAAGCCGACTTCACTCTCTGAGTTTCGAGTTCAGCATAGGTCTTACTTCAATGCTGACAGCGAGTTGAGTTGGTGACCTACCCATCCATGTCTAAAATTTAGTTGCTGGCCGGCTAACAGACTGGCTCTTAGACCTCTGCCTAACTGTATGGCTTATCGACTTACTATCTGTTCGATTTACCATTTATTTTCTCTGAAAAATTGTTCCCTCACGTCGACAGAAACATGCACTGCTCGTTCAGTAACATTCAGCTATCAATAAGTACCTATATTTTCAACCATTCAAACATATAGTTTGAATATAAAGCGGTTAGTCAATGAATCCCACACTATTTCGATCATCAAACCAGATACCAAATGGAAAGACCAGCTGACAAGCCAGTCAAGCTATCGCAAAAAACAAACAAATAACTGAGCATTTTACTAAATTCCTCATTATCCAACTTACTGACTGACCTGAACTTCTGATCAACAACGAGGACTCAAACCAAACATCAAATGGACTGTATGAATTGTTGAATCACTGATTGGCCACATGAATGACTGACCAACTGGTCAACAAGCCAAAATTCTGACAGACTGGCCAGCTCAGGACCAATTACGAAAGAGATTATGGAAATAAATGACTGACTTACTCATCAACTGAGTGTTTGATGAACTCACTGACTGATTCATGACTGATCTGCTAACAAGTTAACTGGCTGACTTGCTGACTGACAGATCGACTAAATGATTGCCTGATGATTGACTGATTGACTGACTGACTGACTGATTGACTGAATGGCTGACTGATTGACTGACTGACTGATTGACCGCTTACTGCTGGCTGACTGACTGAATGACTGACTGACTGAATGACTGACTGGTTGACTGACTGACTGGTTGACTGACTGACTGACTGATTGACTGACTGACTGACTGCTGACTCCTGACTGCTGACTGCTGACTGCTGACTGAATGAGTTACTGACTGACTGACTGACTGAATGACTGACTAACTGACTGAATGACTGAATGACTGACTGACTGACTGAATGGCTACTGGCTGAATGGCTGACTGACTGACCGATTGAATAAATGGCTGAGTGACCGACTGTCTGACGTATTGACTGATTGACTGGTCGAAGGAGTGACTGACTAACTGTCCGATTAACTGGCTGACTGACTCACTGACTCACTGACACAACGATAGACTCACTCACTGACCTAGTTATTGACAGGCTGACTGACTAAGTGGCACACGAGCTGGCTAACTCAACTACTAAATAACTCACTAAAGGTCTGACTGACTTACTAACGAGCTGACTCCATTGGCTTACAAGCTGAATGAATGACTAAGAGAATAAATTAATGAGTGAAATAATTAATGAGCAAATCATAGGAGAGCGAATGAACATATGAAAGGGAGGAAGGAGAGAAAGAAGGAAGGAAGGAAGGATAGAGAAACGTTTGGATCGATGAAATAATAAAGAATTTAGATGGAGTGAAAGAATGAACAGCTTTCACTTACTTCAGACTGTACCTCACGTTGACATGAATGCATCATTCTAATTGACCTTTCACTAATTATGAAGTTACGATTAGATTTGTCACTACTTGAAAATATACTACACAGATGAAAAAATATATAAATATGAATAAATATGAAAAACTAAGAAACATTGAAATCAAAGAACAACGCAGTGTTTTAACTGATCGAAAAATTGACAAATCCGGCCACGTCAAAAACCATTTAACACCGTGACTCATTAAATTCACCAAACGATTGACTTTATCAACTAAAAAAATACATTCGATCAAGTAAAATCCCAACTTCATTTTTGAATCATTTCGTTTTCGGAAAAATTTACAACTGAAGCTATAATTTTGATAGATATCTAATTACATCTACTATGGTAAAATGTTCTCACTTTCTACATTAAATCGATCGTGCTTGAATGAGATTTTAGATTTCAACCCTGATTGTTCCTTCCCCTAGTTTTTTTCTTCCCCACAAGCCGATTTTTTCCTTGCTTGCCAGTTCCCCATCTTTATTCGACGGGTTTGTCTTATCTTCTTTGTTGTCTATGTCTGCTTTCTTTCCATTGATTTTTATGAATAATAAATTAAAATTTCATACTTACACTGAATGTCGAACCTAAACCGATGAGTTGGACAATTTTTCTCCCTCTCCAACTTTCAGCGAATTTAAAACGTCCGTTGAAAAGCGACCCCAGTTTTTTCTTAATGCTCTGAGTTCTTTAGAAATCAGAAATTTGTCTTGAATATAAAGTTCTTTCAAATGTACTTAACCGTTAATAGCTTGATGTATAAAATGCAGCTTCTCAAAAGTAGGTCCTCGCAATGTTTGAAATCGTAATATAAGATATTCTTCAAACATAACCGGAGATTTTCCTTTCGAAATGCAACAATATGGTGTACGTGCAGAAAATTTAAGTATTATTTTCTCGTTGTGCTTAATGGAGCGTTCATTCTAAGAAACTATCGATGCTTGTGCGCATGCGCGAGGTTAGAAGAAAACCGCGGGTTCTGTGAGCAAACCTAGTTTAGACTATTAACTTCAAGTTCCCTTCATTTAATGGGAATTTGTTTTCTCAACTTCAAGTGATTTTTGCAATGAAAAAAGAGCATTGAAACATTAAGAGTGGAGTATTAACATTTTCTCTGACGTGTGTGAAACGGTGCATGAATTCTCAGAAACTTGTATGCTTCAATGCTTTCCTCCAAAGTTTAAGCATTTTTTCAAGACAAATTTCTCGTGATATTTCTTCAAATTGCTGATAACAAATAGGAGATGAGTAATGTGATATCGTGGTACAGTAGATGTTAAATAAGAAAATGAAAGTTTTAAGACTTATTTCCCAAACACAAAGGATGACGAGTTTGCAATATATGAGAAACTCTTTGAAGTTGTTTGATAACTGGGGTTTTAAATTAAACAAAATGTCATTTTGCTTTCTTTTAAAATACCCATGAGCTTATATTTGCTTTGGGGTTTCCTTTCTCATGATCATTGGGTATTTAGTATAGAATGGTTAAGACACTGAAAATAAAAAATTTAAAATTCAAACCGGCCTCAATAATTCAGTCGCAATTATGAGAATCATATATGAACAAATACTTCCAGTCTGAGCAAGTTACAGTGCTAAGCAATCCTGGTTGATCAGTTTTATAGCGAATTAGAGTAAACCCGAAATGAACTTACATGTATTGAACTGAACACCTTGCTTCAGATACTGGATGGTGAAAAACATTGCTCAGCATTTTTACTTTGATAAAAATGCCCCTACAGTGCTATAATTGATCTGATGCACGAGAGTGGGGCAAAGCTGACTAAAGGGAATTGTGCTCGATGACTGTGAAATCAGGGAATCTTAATAAAGATTTTTGCAAGTTCCTTTCTTTTATTTATTTTAAGAGAGTTTTGCCGTTTCATTGTTTGGTGACGATACCCAAACGTTTCCCTCCATTGAAGAGTAAAAACAAAATGATGTCTTACCTTTTAAAGGTTGAAAAAGGTATCGTCCAAAGAAAAGCGAACGCCGGTCATGTCTTTGAAAATCCTGAGTTGAGTGTTAGTTGAGTCAGGCAGTCTCTCTATCGAAAAAGCTCTTGATGACGTCACCAATCACCCTTAAAAAAATTGACTTGGCTTGATCTTTTCACAGGAAGACCCCTAGTTCCAGACTAAAATAAGTGCAAATAGTTCAAAATTTCCCACGACTTCAACTGTTAATTATTTTAGAATTCGTCTTTTCATGTGACTTTGGAATTCTAGTTGTACAATCCAGTGCAACGAGGCGTTAATTCCAAGAAATTCTCACGCTTCAAATCCTTTCGAATCCACACAACAGGAAATTCGCTTTCCATCGTTCCCGGGGAAAAATTTCCCGTCTTAAACTGAAAAAGTGAAAAAAAGATTGGTCAAAAAGTTAGAAAAGTCATGGGAAAAGTGCAGATGATGATGGGATATTGCAGGAGACTACCTAAAAAGCCCGTTGTCATAGTAGCAGAAGTTATCAGCCGGAGAGAAAAGCAAACTAGTTATATGTTTGATGACCTGTTGTTATTGTTCAAAGTTGTTATCCACCCACGCTTTCACAAGCAGCGTTAATTATTAGCTTGTTAGAAAGTAGAATCATCACCGTGTTTAAGATTACTACCTTGATAAGAATGATTGCAAACTGTGACTCTCAAGCGCTTAGCCCGGCTAGACCGGATTTTCGTATCCGGTCCAATCGGTTTTACCTCGCGTCCTCCTTCCTTGCGGATACCTTTGGCTGTGGACCGACTTCCCTTCTCTTATCTACGCTTATTGTGGGTCACAAGTTTAAAATGGAATATAACTATAACCTGAATTCCTCACCTAATTGAAATCTTGTTTCTAAATAGCATCTTCGAGAACAGTAAGATAGGAACTAAATTTGTTTTAAATAAGCAAAGCTTAAAAGGGTTTAAACCCATCAGCAACGAAGTCGTTCAAAACTACAAACCACACTGAACAGACATTCAAAGTATGGCCGTTAAATGGATTTCCCTTTGAAGGGCGCAAATCACTCATTTTCAGGCTTATTCAGCTTTAGCATCTTTATACTTGCTGAAGATGCTAGAATATTGCAATCCATCCTCTTACGCAAGGTATCTTGTTACAAATTTAGTAATTGGATACGGGACTGCACCTGGCTTATCAAAGACTTCATCATACCCAGGAAATTTAATCGTGTGTCCAATTCACAGTGGGGGGCTCAAGGTGTATTTTGCAGGGGCACTGCCCTAGCGAAAGCATGTTCACAGTTATATCGCTTATGTGTCTATTTTGACTAATTCTGAACATGTCTCACATATCATTAAGTAATTTTATTTTTAAATCCGAATGATACGTGAACTCACGTCTAATGATTTCGTTACGTGCGTGTTTGAAGTGTAAACGTTTTTCGTGTATGCGAAAAAGGTTTCGAGTAAGAGAATGAGTAACAATGAACAATGGAGTTGAAAATATTTGCACGTTTAAACTACTTATAACGTTCTGAAATTAAAAGATAGAGAGCTGCGGAAAAGTTACCGAAAAGGGAAATAAAAATTATGGAATTAATATTTTCTTATTTTTAGCAAATATCGCGCAAGAAATTACAAAATTTCCGTCACTGCCGTTCAGTTATTTTTAATTAAGGTGTGTTCATCTACTATTGTCTACAGACAAGAAATCTAGAGA